AATTGCAGCGGATACACGAAGTGAAAGCAGCAAAGAAATAATGCACTCTTTCATCGCCCTCTCAGATGAAGTTTACGATAGCTGGCAAGCTCATGCAGTGTAACTGAAGAGAGTAATTCGTTCGTGCGTTTGTGTTCGGTCATACTGAACAAGTGGTGTAGAACACGCTTTATCTATATTCAACCCAAAAGATACTGTGATGTCCGGTGACTGACCGACATCGGCGTTTCTACCAGGGCTTTCTTCAAGGTAGGTTGGTGTTGAATTTTTGTGAATGTGGTTGGTCGTCAGAAGGCCTTCTGGCTCCTAAACCATTGACTGCTGCGGACGATGTGCATGCTTTTGAGCTACGGCCACTGTAAGCTCGTCGTTGCGTTCCGTTGTACGTCCAAATAAATTTGCGCGTACTAACTGTACGCATGTCAGAGGCACTTACAATGAAGGATGCAGCATAGTAAAAATCGTCATAAGAGTACGAGAGTTCGCATTTGTGATTGGGTGGAATCGCTGATCATCGGATCGTCTAATTGTTCTCTTTCCAGCGACGCTCGTACCTCATTGGCATCATATTCCATGTCGACGATTGTATAAGCAACAGCGTCCGTACCGCACGACATTCGTGAGTGCTATATGAGCTTTTCCTCTCATTCTTCCCTAACGCAGTGTTATCGAGCGATAATATATTTTTATCATATGATAGGCAAATGCCAAACTCGCTAGTTTGCAATGCTTCATAAACGGGACTGGATGCAGTATTACTGTGAAAGTTCCCGAATTCGTTAGAGCCATCAGCACCGTATGCATCGCATATGTTGACTACGATGACGCTGAAGACTGACGCAATTGATCGAGAAGCTTTGGAACTATTTTGTTGAGTAAATAAGTTACATAATTTTTTTCTATTAAGTTCCTTCGGCGATCTGATCCTCGTTCGCTGTAACATTTTGTTTGTCAAAAGAGTGATTCGCTGAAAACACTCTATGATTGCTTACTCCGTTAGGTGCTCAGATCATCAGCTTAAGACAATGAAACTGAAATCAAAGTGGCAAAATAAACCTGATTGATGATTTAGCAAGATACTACTTTTGAATGCAACAACAAAGATAATTCTGACTAGATATCAGCCGAAATTATCAATAATTTTGCTCAACGTGATTGTTTCATACTGCAACGAATACAGACTTGTAGCATGCGTTATCCTGATATTAAGCTCAGCAGTCTTCAATGCCTACAGAGCGCCAAATTTGTTAAAACACATCACTTCCCTTTCCGTGATCAGTCCTGTATCGGCTGCGGATGTCGGAGACGCGTTGCTTTTGTCACTAGGTCTTCCATGATACCTCTTTCATCACAGCGTAGCGGGCCAACAACAAGGTGGTGATCTGTTGACATCTTTGCGCCTTCATAACGCGAGCGTCATAATTCAAAAAATATGACTATGAACTCGATCATCGATTTCTATTCACAAGCTTCCAGTGTACCAGGTATGCTGATACACCCTTCGATGCTCCAAGAAGGTGTTCATTATGGATGGTCCGTTGTTTGCACTAAACCGCAACAACTTTATGCCTTTATTGTTGATGTCGCTAGGGCCGTTCTTTCCAAACACCCCTTGCCAATTTTCAGCGTCTTCTTCGGCATGCGCATTAAAATCGCCCGTGAGCATGAAGGACTCCGTTTTCGGCACTTCATACAGAGCAGACTGCTCTTCCCCAAGGAAGGAGTCATATTCTCACTCCAAACTGGCCTCATGGACCTGTAACAAGATTATCACTTTAGCAAGCTGTAGCTTCAGTCGGAGAATTGTTACCCCGCTGACAAGCTTCTAATCGATAATTCGACCTGCGAGGTTTGGTTCTACCAGAACACCAACGCCGGCCTGAGCGCGAGTCGTGATATCGATGCCTGAGTAGAATGGCTTCCACCCGCTGAGGTTCAGGATTCCAGAGCCTT